TCTTATCTAGAAAATACCAAATAGTAATGTGATATCTTATAAATCTTGTTCATATTTTATACGTACCAAAGGTTCATTTCACAATAAAAACCCTCATACAATAATTATAGATATGAAAAGTAAGCAAAACGTTTGCATTAATTACTAATGAGCATGATAGTCTTTCTTTAATAGGAAGCAAATTAATTGTCCTTAAATAACTACCACAACAATGTCAGATAACCACAAGGTACATTAGCGATCACTTATAGGAAATCAAAGTTGATTGAAAACATAGTGAAACTAATTGACTTGATTATCCATGAACAATAACCAAGGAAAAACTGACACAAATCTTTTTCCAATACTAAAATAAAGAATTTCTGTTCTGTTAAAACTGTTTAGTTGAAACCATTATATGTTTTCTCGGTTTATAATATAATTGTATGGCTCTTAGATAAATTTCGTTTAGCTGACAGACAAGTTACGGGTGTTGTGTAGCATTTGACTAGTAATTGCTGCTGCCTAAAGATGTATATATTTGACATATTTGGATTGTGATACCAGAGTTCAGCACTACATCATTTTAACTTTTTTTTTAAGTATAGCATTCTAAGTATACGTATTGTGATATGAAAGTCTTCTGTTGGTGATTCATGATCATTTGTTTAGCATCTGTCACTGAATAAAAGCAGTAAAATATTTTTTTCTACACCTTATTCTAATATCATGGGTATATATCGACATGTGACATAATAGCTAGTAACTAATTTGTTTCAGATAAAGATAGTTGACTATCCCCACCAAACTAGTGATAAGTTAAACTTCTTTTGGTATTCAGGTACCAAAAGATTGTAAAAGTCATTTAAATTATCGTTTTCTAAAGTCTATTTTTAATGTCAAATGTTGAGAAGATTCAATGTGAACAGATCAACTACAGCCTTAGAGTCCTAGGAAAAACACTTAATTAAACAATTTGAAAATGCTTTAACAGAATAAAAGTATTGAAAAGCGATATTCCTAGTTAATTAAAAAGAACGGGAAGAATCCTTAGTTTCGTTACACAATAAAGAATTATTAGTAGTTTTATGCATAAAGAAGATATGAGATGAGTGCTTTTTAAAAAATGGAGTAAATAAGCAACAATTTTATTATAAAAAAAATATTGTTTTTTAAATTCATTTTAGCCTGCTCCATACTTAACAAAACAAATCGACCAATTGCACTTGTAGACTCTAGTTGGCCATATTCCTCACAGAGTGATGATACATTCATATTTTCAGCTAACATAAAAGATGAAAATAATGAACCCACTGAGTATGAACAAGAAATAAAAAATACTTTACATAATGGACCGGAACAAGCAGCTGAATCTGAAGCTAGTGAACGATTAAGGTGTTATAGACGACAATTGTTGATGAGTTTAAGTTCAAGACTACAATTACCATTGGTAACTATCACAGATCTTGAAGAGTGTCCTGGTTCTATGATTGATTCAGCAATTAAATGGTTCTCATTTTCAAAAACTAAACATCGTTCTGGAAATTCACATCAGCGTATATCTAATCCATATTCACCCGCTTTAGTGCATTCAATTGGTCCTAGTCAATTTCTTGTAGCTGAACTGTTAAAAAATTTGATTGTACTTAATGAAGAAATTTGGAAAGGATTTGCTATTGTATATGAACACAGTGGTGGTAAGTTATTTTTAATTGAATCATGAATTCATGACAGTATTTAGCATCAGTGGCTAAGTTGTGGGTTAACAACTCTTAGCGAATCGGTTACCTTCTATATTGTAAAATCAGTTGGTCGTTAGAAAACCACAATTTAATATCGTGGTATTCTATTTTATATTGTGCCTACAAACACAAAATCACTTGATAGTTTTGTTAAGCGTTCTTTTAAGAAATAAAACTGTTGTGTACTATTTACTAAGTGCGTGATAATATCTGCTATAAGGACCATTATTCCTGTGTTCATGGGCTTTGATACACATGCTCAGAAAACCCTGTACTTATTTATTTCAGGGCAGATTGTTTTGTACATCATTGCCACCCTAACTTTAAGCATCCCAGTATGGCATTACTATTCGAATAAAAGATTTATGAAGATATGTTCTCTCTAACAAGTGAATGTTTGTGATTTACGGATAACTACGCAACCAATGGATTTCGTAAATGAAGTGAATTCACTAAGAGACTTCGTAGTAACTAGGAAACAATCAAATTCAGACATATCTTACTTTACAGAAGTTTCTATCATCAAGTGTTTACGAAAGGACCTCTGTATAATAGACCAGAAGCAGTTCTAGTCATCACATATAAATTTTTTTAAAGAAATTAAATAACTTTTTGCCAAGAACATTCATTCACCGGTAACCTCTGCAGCATTTATAAAAAATATTAAAAGCTGTACATGCATTCCAATAGTTTATTTACTGCGTGTGTTATAAAAGACTATTTCTACTCGTCAGTTGCCTTATACCAGGTCATATTTTAGTTATAATAATACCAATCTCTATCCAGCAAAAAAGTCTTATTTTGATCTATAAATCAATTATCGATTACATATTCAATCTAATTCAGAAAATGGTTTCATTGTTCAATAACTACCCATTGCAATTCATAGAAGATACATAACATTCATATTTCATTTTAGGACAGAGTAGACATTACCTATGCTATACTGTATACCATCAAAGCAAGTTTAAATGTTATTCACTTCTTTGATTTATTTGTAAGCTTTTCACATTCTGTAGTTTTAAATAACCTTTCCAGTTGTAAAATATTAATTTTATCTCGAGAATTTTACATTCTCTAAGTAAAGTAAATGAATTTGTTAGTAGCAGTACTAGAGGTTGACTTTGTTATGATTGTATACACAGTGTTTGATTTTACATGATATGAAATCTTTATGTCTCCTGTAAAATACTTGTTTTAACGTAAAACACTTGTCAATATCAGACATGCATAGAGATACTTATGAGTATTTATGAATGTCTTTGAGCTTATTAGAATATTTTGTAAATTTATCTAGACTTCCTGAAGTATCGTGAATGCTTAGAAAGTTTACAGACAACAGCACTAATTCGTCGATGGAGAGAAAATTCATTTTACAAAGCCCATATTATAAGAGAAATCAAACATTTGGAGGCATTCTTTTTGGATTTATCTGCAAAAAGTATAGAACAGTTCTTTCAGATGGTGAGTTTCATATTGGTGTTGTAATATAGAAATACTCACTTATCAGAAGTGGTTTGAAGTAGTGGGTGAAATTAAATTCATTTAGAGAATCTGAACGTTCAGAGGATAAAGACACAGACAATATACGTTGAGAATTTAACCTTATCACTGATTACTGGTCATGTTATGAACTAAAGATAGTTTATCCTCTAAACATCGGCTTTTGTGAACAATATGAACTAAGACCACTTTAATTCTGGAAACATGGTATATTTTGTATACATGTTTTGGTGGAAGTAGGTAATCAGCATGAAACCCTAGGACTCGCTTTTGCTCTGGCGTTCACTCATCAACAAGGAATGCTTACAGTCTTAAATGCTTTGATTTTCATGTTGGAATTCGAGCACTCATATGTTAGCTTTATGTTCTGCGACGTTTAGACTGGGCTATATCAAATTATAAGTGCCTAGAAGTGAAAGATAATGCGAAACGATACTATAGTTATAATTGGTAGATATGCACATTTGAATTTGTTTCTTAGTGCACCAACTACTATCCAAAATAGTTATAATATTTTCTAGTTGATTCAGTCTTTAGCCCTGTTTTTTTGGGAATACAATAATATCGTGCAAATGTCAGAAGAATAGACCAGGGGGGATGTTTTTTAGTAAAAACTGCTGTAAATTGTCTCTGAACTAAATCTGTTAACTAAACATCTACTTATGTTCTATTATGTTTTATGAATACACTGTGAATATCTTTCTTAGTACAGAGAAAACTGCCTATTTTCGTTCCCATTTTTCCATTTTCATTATTCATCATATTTCTGAAAAAAATTAACCTGTATGAAATCAGACTATATTTCTTTCCAATACAGCTGCCACTTCTTATGATAATAAATACAACTTATTTTTAAATACACTAATTAGAATAAGTATGAAAACTGTGAAATCAAAAGGTTAACTTCTGAGCGAATAATCGATAACCAATGTTTTCTTATGGATAGGTGTATTTAATCATCAGGAACAGTTTCACATAGAAAACTTAAAAGTTGAACAAATAATTTATATCATTTTCTGTACTCTGACCTTATACCTTCTATACGTTAATTCATCAAATGATTTTAATACCTGTCATAGCTCTTTTCAAAATGATAAAGGGAACTATGTGTATGAAATTTGATAAATCCAGTTTACTTGAATTATATTTGACATACTAAAGACACTTATTTGGTATCAGTAATAATGAAATTGCAATTGTATTATGTGCATATTGTTATCAAGATATGATAGTTCAGAAAATAACTGGACATGTCAGAAAGAGGCTTGAAATAAGTGGCTTGCTGGATAGTCTTTTAAACATAAGAGTCACTAAGATCTATATCTTCACTCATCAGTAACAATAATTGAAGTGAAAATATATATATATATATATATATATATATATATATATATATATATATATATATAATGGTCCGACTATATAAGTGTGTAAACGGTTTATCTTAATCTGAGTCGGAACAACTTTAAAATAATCTAACACTAATAATGCTGTTAACATTAGGTTAGTATTGTTAAAGAAAATATCCATCTGTAACAAAAATATACCTTAAATAATTTCATTAGTTTATAATTCAGCCAAAGATTTTATCCAATAAATTCTGTGATCATGAACTCATCTTAATCAAGATTTCTCAATCTAAACAGTATTATCAACGAAAAAAAATATTTTCTTTTCTGTATAAAAGAAAATTTTCTCATACCATAAGAAATATTGTATTTACTAGTATAATCATCAACTGAAGAAGAAGGAAACAAAATTTAGTTAATTTGCATACAAATTAGTTAGTTATTATTTTACATTATAAAAATTAGATTTGATCTTAAATATTCCATAGAATATACTATGAGATAATTTAAATAATCTTATCATACTTCTGGGTTATTGTTTCGTATATATTTACTTAAGGCAAAATATAAACAAGTCTACCATACTAATTACAAAAAAGTACAATATATGCATCTTCAGGAAAATTGGTTAGTAAAAATAATGCAAAATAATGCTGAAAAAAGCCACAAAAGGAAGAAACATATGATGAAGAAACTAGCAGGGAAATATAGTAAGTCAGAAATACCGGTCAAGAACAAAGGAACAGTTGGGTGAAACATTTTAGAAGCTCTTTAATAAGCCAGCTCCATTGAATCCACCGGACATTGAAGCGATGCCTACAGACATTCCTGTAGATGTCACTCTGCCAACAAGCGGAGAAGTCAGGATAGCTACCAGACAAGTGTAGTGTGAGAAAGCAGCTGAACTTGACAATATGCCACCTGAAGCACTAAGGTCAGATGTATAAGAAACTGCAATCATGATCCACATTCTATTCAGGAAGATATGGGATGAGGAACACGTGCCGGTTGACTGTAAAGAAGGATATTTCAAAAAGATGTCAAAGAAAGGAAATCAGAGCAAGCGTGAAAACTACAAAAGAAACGCACTACTATCGGTACTGAGAAACGTTTTCAACAGGGTGTTATTGAGCCGAATGAAATATTCAGAAGACGTCCAGTCTTGAGATCAACAGATCGAAGTCTGTAAGGATCAGTCGTGCACAAACCGAATCTCGACACTACGGATCATCGTTGAACAATCACTTGAATGGGATTTGTCAGTATACATCAACTACCTTAACTATGAGAAGACATTTGACAGCGTTGACATAAGAACAATGTAGAGCGTTCTTCGACATTATGGTGCACCTGAAAAGATTTTCGACATCATCTGGAATTCATACAACGGACTATACTGCAGAGTCACTACACTACAAAGGCTATTCCGTTAGCCTTCATTCTCTCGTAAAAGGTGGATAATTATTTGTCATTTGATCTGATTGGACTATCGGAATTCCTTTACCCACATTTTTGTCATTAAGGTATATATAGTCTTTTTTGCTTGCAAGTCACGATTACTCCTCCCAAAATATGTTAGTCTACATACGCACACGTAAATTGACACATACGAAATGATTTAATACACACATCCACATGTTACTTAGTCTTTTGGTAAAACATGGCTCTTTTACTGTAATTATGAAGTGGACTACGGAAAATGTTCTACTACTGAGTGATTTCAGTATTGACTCTTAAAAGTGAGTTGGACTTTGTCAGTACGCAATAATATTGTATGTTTATGAATTATAAATAAAGCGTAGAATTATTCAAGGAGGTGGTCACATAGGATGTCAATCGTCATCCTCATAGATACTTTTATAATCAAAGAATTCACATCAAAAGAACTTCATTTTATTCGCTTGATATTAGTATCAATTAAGTAGTTAATTAAGTCAAATGGACAACTCGGCATATACTTGCACAAATGATTTGGAAAAGGATTCATTCGTTTCAGTAACCATTTCATGAGATTAGGCGAAGATGATGCATATTAGAAATAAATTGGACATAAAAGAATGTAATTCTTGTGGATACCAGGTAATTCATATAAAGTGGGATATTCCGAGGCCATAGGTTTTAAAGGATGGAATTTCTCTTAACTAATACCAATCATATTCAGCGATTTCATTAATTTTCAGTTTATCACTCCCGTGAACGTACTTGTTTCTTTTAAAGTCTATATCAGACATAAATTTTTCATCATCTCTGACAACGGATAATGTTTTGTTGTTTTAATCAAAACTGTTCAGAACATCTATACCTAAGGTTTTTCAGGTTTATACAAAATCATATAAGGATTAATTTATAGCCTCTTTAATTATTCAAAGCGCTTAGAAGTTAACATGATTCCCTGTTTTAGACTAGAAATAATGTTTATTTGACTGAATAGGTTTTCAAACTGGGTATTGAATACGAACTCGGACATTCGCGTTGTAGGGACAGAATGAATAGATCAAAGCAAAAGCGTTTCTCTTTCATGGACAGACAGTCCAACAGTGGATAGATTAGCTATCACAATTGACTGGTCAGCAATCGACACGATTGTTGTTACTAAAAGATTTGTTCAGCTATTTCTGATCCCTACTTTGGTTTTTGAAATGATGGAAGAGCAAACGTTGATGAGTTCTAATTGACAAGGTAGAGATATTCTTGCTAATATAACTGGTGCATTAATGTAGAGTTCAGTTAAATGAATTGGTTTTTCTTTATAGTTTTATATACATGGTTTGGTAAGTCAGACTAAATAATACTGATTTAAATTTTAATGTAAGATTTTACACATTAGGAAATTACAACCAAATATCACAAATCTAAATAAATTAATGTGAGCACAATATGTTTGTCCTTCTGATGCTATTACTATTACTATGACCTCAATTAAAAGAAAATAATACCATCATCCTTGAAATACAAAACATACCTTGGAACAGTCCAATCTTAGATTAATTCTTTAACAGGAAAATATATCAAAATATTTCACCAAACGACTATCAGAAATATAACTACTATTTAGTGATTTTATATTTGAATTCATGATTCAATTGAAGATAGACCATCATGGAAAACTTGGAAGCTCTGAACGTTCGTTCCATCTTAGTATGGGACTTCTCAGCAGTGCTCACTCACGACACCGCCTTGAGAGATTCGAACCCAATACTTATTAGTCTCGCGCGCGTGATCTGGCTTCAACTGACTCATGAATTCAACTATAAAGTTACTAAAGTCTCCACAAAACCGTCTTCTGATAACAATATTTAATGAATTAAAATTACTCATGAAATAACACAAAATTTGTCATTAAACTAAAATTTATTTTCATGTAAAGCTAAACTTGTGTAATTTAAGTAATATGTTCATAAGTAATATATATAATGAAATGCCTTTGTTTATTATTAAAATAATAAATGTTACAACTAAATAATTTAATATCAAATTTAATTATTGAATAACATTATTCTTTCTACACTTTACTTAGATGGGTGATCAAGAAGTCAATCCGAATTATGCTCAGTACTTCATATTTAACGATGTAAGTTGAAATGATGGCATTGCAATTCAAATAAAAAATATTATTAATATCAAAATAAGTTTAGAACGATTAGTCCCATTCATAAATTTCAATGGCGTAATGAGAAGGTCAAATAGATCTGAGGAATGTAATTTGTTAGTACGGTCGGGCAATGAGAATACTTTCTAAGGCATTTATTTATGCAAACCAAAGAAAGATTTTAAAAAAGGTTGAATAAGTACTAAACAATAACTGGAAATGTTCTGTTATAAGAAAAGAATACGAGGTTATTATAGTGGACTAGGATTTTAAATAAATTGAAGACTATTAGGCCAAATTCACGATCAGACCACATTGTTTTTGTATACAAAATGCCTTAAAATTTCCTATGTTCAAGCCCTCCACTTACCTAACAATAACTTCGGATAACTTCTGTAAAGGCTTTGACGGCTGCTGTTAGGTCAATTCAATACCTTATTCCAATTATATGTATCGTTATTGAGAAGTAAATCTTCCCATCCTCTGAATTTACCTGGGCACATGACGCTGATTGATTATGAAATTATTTAGGTACGTATTCCACCACATCCGACTATATTTTCTGAATACCTATTTATATGTATGTTTCTACGTACATGTGAATTGATAATTTAATCAAGATATGGTGTTATCACTTACCAGATGTTGAAGCTTAAATGGAATTATGGCCATTTTCATTTTCAAATGAACTCATTCTTAAGATTATATATTTATAAAAGTAGTCTTATTGGTCTAATTATTTAACATAGGATGCATATAATTATTTCATCATTGTTCACTAGTCTTAAAGTTTTTTCTTGATAATTTCTTTCATTTTTTACAGTGGCATGATTATTAGACTAACCACTGAAATAGTTTTTCTTATTTTTCTGTAAACTCAACATCCAATCTTAACAATGAAAATCATAAAGGCAATCTAGAACCACTTAGCAAAAGATGATTCCTTCTGGACAACTTATCTTGAGGAAATAAAAGTTGTATTTTTTAATATTTTATTCTATATTTCTTTATAATGTATCTAACTTCAGAATTATCGTTCATGAGCTAACTGATAATCTTCAAATACCACTATGATAAGATCAAGGAGAATATTTACATATGAACTTTCAAACACATAGTCTAGTTCTGATAAGAAGCAGTGACCGGTGGAGTTCAACCGGGTCTGGTGTGAGATAGTGACTCACTGAAGACAATGGTGAATGTGTCGCTCAATTTCGTGGATTAATTGAAGTTAGACATTAACACTGATGGATGCCGGTTCATTGGTGTAGAGGTTAAGCATTCTCTCGCAAAACCGATAGATCTTGGGTCCGAATCTCGCTAGGCGGAGTCGTGAATGAGCACTGCTGAGGAGTCCCACGATAGGGCAAAACGGCCATCAAGTGATTCTAAGTTTTACATGGCGGTCTAGCTTCAATGGATTCACGATCTCAACTATTAAAATTAATATAATATTCTGAAAAATTTTTTCTGACACTGATTACGATTAAATATCTTTTAATTAAAGTTAGTACATTATAAAAGTATTGAATTTAAAACTGCAATACAGATATTACATAAAATAGTTAAATTAGATTATCATTTCATAGTGAGGTGGATTTTAGTTGAATGATGATTAGATGCAGTCTAATTTTGTGTTTTTCTTTTATATTTATTATGCATTTCAAGGGTTCCCTCGAAAGTTTGATGAATTCACTTCAGCGTGTAAAAGGTAATATAGCTTTGGTTCGTTTCAAAATACCTGGAATATCCCATGAATCAGAGAGTGAATCGGTAAGTATTTTTCTACTACTTATTGATATACAGAAACTGAACACTATAGATTACTTGATGGGTAGTACAGAAATCGACTGATGATTCCTGATGTATAAGTACTAAATTAAAATCACTGTTTGGAATAATAAATTACACACATATATTTACTTATTTACTCCTGTTACCCCTCATGGAGGAGCATAGGCCGCTAATCAGCATTCTCCATCCAACCCTGTCCTGGGCAATCATATCCAGCTCTTTCCAGTTGTTATTCACCCTTTTCATATCTGCTTCTATTTCCCGACGTAATGTGTTCTTTGTTCTTCCTCTTTTCCCTTTTCCTTCAAGATTCCAAGTTAGAGCTTGCCTCGTGATGTAGTTCGATGATTTCCGTAGTGTATGTTCTATCCACTTTCGTCGTCCTTTTCTAATTTCCTTTTCATTTGTAGCTGGTTTGTTCTTTCCCGCAGTAGGTTGTTGCTGATGGTATCCGGTTAACGGACATTGAGTACCTTGAGTAGACGATTGTTTGTAAATACATGTGCTTTTTTGATGATGGTTGTTGTAGTTCTCCAAGTTTCAACTCCGTACAGTAGAACTGTTTTGACGTGTGTATTGAAGATTTTGACTTGGATGTTGGCTTGCAGACAGTTGTTTCGAGTTCCATA